AGAATGGCCAGACTTCGTCTCACCTATTTTGGTCATGTTGTCAGAAGGGAATATTCCCTGGAGAAGGATGTCATGCTTGGTAGGGTGGAGGGTCGACGAAAGAGGAGGAGGCCTCCAACGAGATGGATTGACACGGTGGCTACGATGATAGGCTCAAGTATAGCAGGGATTGTGGGTCTGGCGCGGGATTGGGCAGTGTTTCGTTCTGCTGTGCATGGGGTCGCTATGAGTCGGAAACGACTCAACGGCACCTAACAACAACAACAGGGCACTTGACTGCTAACCAGAAGGCTGGCGGTTCAAACCCACCAGCCATTCCTCAGAAGGAAGGTCAGGTAATCTACTTCCCTAGTGACACTGCCTCAGAAACCCAAGTAAGGGTCGCTATGAGTCGGATCGGACTCAAGGGCAGTGAGTTAAGACCCTCTAGTTAGTGGTTTACCCTCCCTCCTCCAGCCACCACTGGTAACCATCAAAGAACATTTTTTTGTGAAACCCTTTTCTTGACTTTTTACAGTAGTGGTTTCATACAATTATTTGTCCTTTTGTGATCGACTGATTTCATTCAGTATAATGTCCTCTAAGTTCATCCATACTGTTTCACAAATTCATCACTGTTCTTTAACCTTGTTTAGTATTTCATCACGTGCGTGTACCATAATTTGTTGATCCACTCCTCCCAGGATGGGCATTTAGGTTGTTTCCATCTTCTTGCTGTTATGAATAGTGGTGCAATGAACATGGGTGTGCATCTACCTGTTCAGTCCAGCTCTTGCTTCTGTACATATATACCTAGAGTCCCCGTTTTTAGGGCTCGTCTGCCAGGAGAGTAAGCAAAAGGCAAGGTAAAAGACTAAGAAGTGAAGCAACAAAACCATCAGGCTAGATCCGAGAAACGCTGAGCATCTCTATTTGTACAGCATTTTGTAACATCCACGTGCTTTTCACAAGCACGACCTTATCTGATCATCCCAAGCTCCCTGAGGACACACTCAAATTCAGTGGTTCTAGTCCTTAGAACAGCAGTATCACCAGAAACCTGTTCCAAATGCATTCTTGGGCTTCACACCAGACCTACCGAATCAGAAACTGCGGATGAGGCCCAGCAATCTGTGGTTTAAAAAATCCTGCAGGGGATTCTGATCTTCTCCAAGTCCCTATAATCACCACACTCAGTAAAGAATGGCCAGCCGTAGTCGGACAGAAATTCCCTTCTGAACTCTGCCTTCAGTGCGTGACCCCACCCAGCCAACACCTCTCAGCAGCTCAACCTGCTTCGGCCATAACCTAAGAGAGTTCTGCCAGCGTTGGACCGAGTGAAGACGAGGCGTGGCTTCCGTTACCAAAGCTAGGCTCTAGTGACCCAAAGGTCCGGGTGGCTGGTTCGGCTACAGACCAAACTCCGCCCGGGCGGCCCCCGCCGTCTTTAACTTCCGGCGCCAGAACAGGCGGTCGGGGGCGGGGGGAACTCGGAGCGGACGCGGCCAACTTCCTCGAGACTGGGGGGTAAGAGAGCGCTTCGTTCTTTCAACCTTTCCATGTGCTAAGATGCCGGATGACGTGGCACTGGAAAGAAGATGAGCGAGTTTAGTGTAAGTGTCTGAAAAATCTGGAACCCAATAGAGAAATAAAGCTTTGAAAATCTTCTTCCTCGCCTTTTCCTACCATTCCACCCCAAGCCTAAAGAAATGGAACCGCGGAAGCTGAAGGAATCAGGGAGAGACTAGTAGGGCGGAAGCGGGCGGGG